ACTTTTTTTGGAGTTTTGAGTCAGTTTTGGATGATTTTTTGGGGATATTTGGGTGATTTTCTGGTCATTTTTTGGGGAGATTTGAGAAATTTGGGGGGAGATTTTTTGGGGAGATTTGAGTCAGTTTTGGGAGATTTTTGGACATTTTTTGGGGAGATTTGACTCAGTTTTGGTTGATTTTTTGGGGACTTTTGGGAGATTTTTTGGGGAGATTTGTGCCAGTTTTGGGTGATTTTTTGGGGAGATTTGAGTCAGTTTTGGATCATTTTTGGGTGAGGTTTGAGTCATTTTGTGGTCATTTTTTGGGGAAATTTGAGTCAGTTTTGGGTCATTTTCTGGTCATTTTTTGGGGTGATTTGGGTGAGTTTCTTGTCTTTTTTGGGATGACTTGTGTCAGTTTTGGATCATTTTTGGGGGAGATTTGGGTCAGGTTTTGAATTTTTTTTGGTGGATTTGGGTCAAATTTGGGTCATTTTTTGGTGAGATTTGGGTCAGTTCTGGGTCATATTTGGTCATTTTTTGGAGATATTTGGATGAGGTTTGGGTCATTTTTTGGGAAATTTTGGGTATTTTTTTGTGAGATTTGGGTCAGTTTTCGGTGATTTTGGGTCATTTTTTGGGGTGATTTGGGTCAGTTTTGGTAGAGTTTTGGGTCATTTTTTGGGGTGATTTGGGTCAGTTTTGGGCCATTTTTTGGGATGATTTCAGACAGCTTTGGGTCATTTTTAGGGGAGATTTGGGTCAGTTTCTGGTCATTTTTTGGGGTGATTTGGGTCAGTTTTGGGTCATTTTTTGGGGAGATTTGAGTCAGTTTCTGGTCATTTTTTGGGGTGATTTGGGTCAGTTTTGGGTCATTTTTTGGGGAGATTTGTGTCAGTTTTGGGCCATTTTTTGGGGTGATTTGGGTCAGTTTCTGGTCATTTTTGGGTGATTTTTTGGGATGATTTGGGTGAGTTTCGGGTCATTTTTGGGTCAGTTTTTGGGGTGATTTGGGTCAGTGTCTGGTCATTTTTTGGTCAGATTTGGGTGAGTTTTGGGTGATTTTTTGGGGAGATTTGGGCGAGTTTTTGGTGATTTTTGTGGGTGATTTGGGTGAGTTTTGGGTGAGTTTTGGGTGATTTTTTGGGATGATTTGGGTGAGTTTTGGGTCATTTTTTGTTATTTTTTGGGATGATTTGGGTGAGTTTAGGGTCATTTTTTGGTCAGATTAGGGTGAGTTTCTTGTCTTTTTTGGGGGTGATTCGGGTGAGTTTTTGGTCATTTTTTGGGTAGATTCAGGTCAGTTTTTCGTCAGTTTTTGGGTGATTTGGGTGAGTTTTGGCTCTTTTTTTGGGAGATTTGGGTCCTTTTTTGGGGAGATTAGGGTCAGTTTCTGGTCATTTTTTGGGGTGATTTGGATCAGTTTCTGGTCATTTTTTGGGGTGATTTGGGCGAGTTTTGGCTTAGTCTTTTTGGTGATATTTTTTTTAAATTTTTTCTGATCTGGTGGACTATACCGTCCCCTGGTGACGGGGTGTGGTGGCGACTGTCCAGCAAGGTCTTTGCCTCGGAGCGTAATATTTAGAATATATTAATAGTAATAATTAAACGTGTTGCATCTGCTAAAGTGGCTTATGCATGCATTTATAATATATGAACACGTTATGCATTTGCATACAATATTACTCTTTTTTAATAAAGGTATTATTTCCTTCAAACTACGGAAAATTCAAGGTAATGTAGAATGATCTTTGCTTATGCAACTATAGGTATTACACGAGGAAACATCATGACTATTAGGATGCAGTTCATAGCAGTATACTTCCTGTATATATATATGTTCATGTAAATGTAAAATCATTAAGAATCTATTCCCTAAGATTCCCCCCCTATTCCCATCCCCCCCCTCTCCCCCCCCCCCCCCTTCCCCCCCTGCCCCCCCTCCCCCCTCCCCCCAAATTCCCCTCCTGCCCCCCTGCCCCCCTGCCCCCCTTTCCCCCTCCCGACCCCCCTTCCCCCCCCAACCCCTCTTTCCCCCCCTGGGCCGGGGAGTTCTGGGTGGGAGGGGCCAGAGGGGGGGAACTCTCCCCTCCTACCCCCCCCGGACCCCCCGTCCCCCGGGGAAGGGATTCCCGGGCTGGGAGGGATCAGTGGGAGGAGTTCCCGCCCCTTACCCCTCCCACCCCGGGACCCCACTCCCCTGGAGGGGGTCCCCCTGCCCCCCCTGCCCCCCATCCCCTGCCCCCCCGGCTCCCCCCGCCCGCGGAGCCCCCCGTGTGATGTCGGGCCGGGCCGGAGCCCCGGCGGTGCCGGGCGGTGCTTGGGAACTGCAGGTGGGGACCCGCCGAGCGTCTCTGGCCCTGGATCCCCGGGGGATCCCGGGGGGGCGCCGGCTCCGGCCCCGCGGCTTTATTAAAGCGGCGCCCCGAACCCCGCGGCTGCGGGGACACGGCACGGGGGACAGGGGGGCGGAGGGGACGGGCGGGGGGGGCAAGGACGGAGCAGGGGTACGGGGGGGGCGGGCTGTGCAGCGGAGCAGCGAGGGGAGAGCGGAGGGAGCCCGGGGGGCCGGGCTGGGCAGGGGGCAGCGACAGGGGCCGGGGGGAGGCCGCGTGCGGGGACGGGCAGGGCGGAGGGGCGGGAAGGAGGGCTGGTGGGGTCGGGGTGTGCAGCAGGGGACGGAGGGGGAGCGGGACCAGGCCGGCTGGAGGGTCAGGCCGGCTGGGGGGCCAGGGAGGGCGAAGGACGGAGGGGTAGGAAGGAGGGTTGAGGGGGAGGGGCAGGGAAGGAGCGTAGGGGTCGAGCGGGTTGGGGAGGGAGGGAGGGGCTAGAGGGGAGAGGGAGGGTTGGAGGGGAGGGGGTGGGGGGGGAGAAGGAAGGGAGGGAACGAAAAAAAGAGGAAAAAGTGAAAGAAAAGTCAAAAGAAAAGAAAAAGAGCCGCGGGAGCGCGAGGCCCCCGCGGCGCCGTTACCGCTCCGCGCCCCACCGAGTAAACAGGGGCGGGGGCGAGTTCCGGCCCTTAAATAACCTCGGCCCCGCCCCGCGCACCTGTGCGGGCCCCGCGCCGCTCAAAGCCGGCAGAGCCGCGCCCGCCCCGCGCCTGGGGAGGATGGCATCAGGATGGGGACCGGGACCGGGACCAGGAGCAAGACCAGGAGCGGGACCGGAGGACTGAAGGTGGCGATGGAGCTCGGCATCAAGACTGGGACCAGGATCAGGACCGCGACCGGAGGGCCGAGGTTGGCTCGGGGCTGGGATGGGGCTCGGCATCGGGACGGGGACCAGGATCGGTGCCGGGCTCATCCCAGCCCGGCCTCGCCGCCTGTGCCCCGGTAACGCAGGCGGGAGGAGCCGCTCCGGGGCGGGCAGTGCGGCCGAGCCCGGCGGGACCGCTCGGGCCGGGGCTCTGCCGGGGTCTGGCCAGGGCAGAACGGCGGCGCTTTCCTCGTGCGGACGCGGAGCCGGGGCTGGGACCGGCCGGGGCCCGGGGACACTCCGGGCCGGCCCCGGGACCCCGCCGGGCCCGCAGCGCCGCCCTCGCCCCCCGTGGTATTGGAGCTCCCCCGCTCGGGCACCCCCGAGACCACCGCACCCGCTCCCGGGGAGAACCTCGCCTGCCTGCCCCTTCCCCGCGGCCGCGGCTCCGGGGGGGTCCCGCCCGCAGAGCCCCCCGGGAACGAGGGGTCTGGGGCCCGCCGGGGCTCCGGCCGCGGGGAGCCGGGGTCGTGCCAGAGCAGGGAAGAACGAGGGCAGCCCTTTCTCCGTTCCTCCCGTGCTCCGGGACCCCGAGCAGAGCTGTCCGTCTGTCCCCATGTCCCTATGTCTGTCCACAGGCAGCCCCAGGAGCTGGCACGGACCGTGCCGCGGGTCGGGCACAGGCTGCTCTCACCTCTGCCTGCGGAACTTCTATAACTGCCGACAGCAGTTCTTTTCCCTGCCATCCATAAGGTGCAGCTCATCTGACACCTGCCAGGTGAGACCTGAGGCTCTCCTTCCTCTCCCCCGCTTCCTCGGCAACTCGCATCCTCCCGGGGCAAACCCTCCCGTTTTTCAAAATCCCGTTGAAACATTTCATCTTTATTTGCAGACGGGGAAGGTCCTGCCTGGGAGGGAAAGGGCTACAGGAGAGGAAACAAAAAAATGCTCCAACCGGACGCTGCCGCGCGGGTCACAAGAGAGGCAAGACCGCAGAGAAATACAGTCAGGAAATCCGCTTTTATTAAATCTCTACAGCTCTCCCTCCTCTGCACGAGCCCTTCGCAGCCACGGGCCAGAGGGAGCGCGGCCGGCTGGGCTGTGCCCGGCTGGGGACGGGCACCAATTCATCGCTGCCGTGCTCAGGGAGGTTTTTCGGCCCCGTCCGGGATTCACCCAACGGCTGTAAAGGAGCTCGTACGACGTCTCTTTCCAGGGATAAAGGAGCCAAACGAGACCGGAGGGTTCCCTCGGTCCGAGGCAAAGGCGTTGGTCGAGTGTCGCCGCCCGGTCCCGCCTGCGGGGGGGCGTCTCCTCCAGGTGAGCGTTCGGAACCCAAAATGCCGGGGGGGGGCTCAGGTCGGGGCCGCTTTTCGGGCGCGTCCGGCCACCGCCTTCTCCTGGGCCAACACGTCCCCTGGAGCCCGGCCCGGGGCGGAAAATCGGCCGAATTCCGGCGAACTCGCTGAAGTCCCCCCAGGGACACCAGCGGGGCTGGGGGAGGGAGGAGGGTTATAAACAGCAAAGCCTGTGGAATATCAACCTGTCCTTGTCCCGATCCCGCTGAGCAAACCTGGAACCGTGGCTGCTTCCTGGCAAACCTGGCGTTAGAGCGGCAGCTCTGCCGGGGAACATCCGGGCTCCAGGAGGCGCTGAGAGGCTATTCCAGCAGGAATTCGGCATGGAATTGCGGGCTGTAGGTAGAATTCATCTAAACCTGCAAAGCTGAGACCGGAACCCAAACCTGGGCCCTGCGCAGAGAACAATCTTTGTGCTGCCGTGTCAGCAAAAGCCGCTGCACTGAGAGATCTTGGCAGCCTAAGGGAGGGCATTCCCTACATCCCAGCAACCAGCATTTCCCAAGGGGACAATCCCTTATTTGGTCCTGCTCATTTTGGGGGATCGGATTGTGCTGGTTTACGTTCCACGACTCCACCCACAGCTGGAGATTGGGGATTGTGCTTCTCCCAGCAGGTTCCCTAAGGAACCAGATACTCCAACAATCCCCTCATTTGACTTTCTAGGTGAATTGTACACAAGCCAGTCCCCCATTCCCTATCCAGGCTGTGAGTGTTCGTGCCCTTGGCACAGTTGGCTCTGGCTGGGCAGGAACTGAGAGCAGGACACGAGGCAGAGTGGATCAGCTGCCCAGGGAACCTCCAGGAGATGAAGCTACTGGATCCTCATTCCAATCAAGGGAACACATTCTGTCTCTGGCAGAAGCCGGGAGCCAAAGCAGATCCCGCCTGGCCAGGCTGGGGGGCAGCAATTGGATCCACTCTGGGGGAAACCCCTGTGCCTGCCAGGAGCTGTGACTCCGTTTGTCCTGCCAGCTCCTGACCGGTGTCAGGGCCACTGGGAGGGATTCAGAATCCAAAGAAACCCCAAATCCTACCGAGGGACTCATCCAAAGGAAGAAAGCCATTATTGTCACAAAAAGCTTAAAAACCTGTTAAAAATTCTAGGACAGCAATACTGGGATTCCCAGTATCCTTATTAGTGCTCTTGGTTCCATTTCAATGTATCTTTAGTCCCTCAATGAGCAGCTTGGAGAACTTCCCCTGGGATTTAGAGGCTGAGCAGGGTCTGCTTTGGATTGCCTTGCACCTCTGGTCCCAGCTGGTGCAAACACAACTTAGGCCAACGTGGTTAAAGACACTTTCCTACAAAAACAGTTCTGTATCCCCTAGAAATTACCCCAAGTTTGCAGATAAAAATGTTACCTCTGTCCCCGCTAAGTTATCCCAGGTTTTCCTGGCTGGGAGCTGCAAGGAGGCTGTAAATTGAAAGGCAGAAAGAGAAGATCTGTCAGCAAAAGGCACAAAGAAGGGGACAGGCTTCAGAAAATATTTTTACAATCTAATGAATAACTATTTCCAGTTTCCCAGTGAGAAGAACATGAACTCACTGCCACCAAGGCCTGACAGTCCCCTGCAGCCAGAGCTCAGCACACATCCAGAGAGGCAATTCCAGCATCTAAAAGAAAAAAAAAGAAGAAAAAAGTGATTTATTTTGTTTTCAAGTTACTTTAAGTTGTTCAAAGCAAAGCAAGCCTTGCTTTGGTTTCAGTTGGGTGGACAGTGAGCGGTGGGCACAGGGCACGTCATTAATGCCCATGGGGATGGTGCTTTGTGGGGGAAGAGCAGCTGATGGAGTTGCCCAGTCCAATTCCTGCCCAAGGCCTGGTTGGCACAGGACAAACCCTGTGGCAGGCAGTGGTTTTGTTCCCTCTAATAGTCTGTGCCCAGTGTGTCCCTGTGGCCAGTGCCAGGCTGGGGACAGGCACACGGAGCTGGCAGCACTCTCTGCTCCAAAGACACTTCTGGGCTCCTTGGCAAACTGCCTCTGACACTTGGTTTTCTCTAGGAGAAATTAAGGAATTGCTCCTGGCAGTTTGGAGATGAAGTTATCCCAAAGGGAAGGAAAGAACAAATATTCCTGTAAGAGCCCTTGGGGTCTGCTGGGCTGAATTGGGAAGGGCCCATTATCTGCAGAGCAAATACAGGACAACCTCAAGCACAAAGCCCAGACTGTCAAGTGGGGTGTGAAAGCACCACTGGGACAAACCTTCACTCTCCTGATTTTTTTCAGGGACTGCTCCAACCCAGCTCTGAAGCTGCCAAGCCCAAACTGTCCCCAGCGCTCTGGAACAACAGGATCTTCCCAGGGATGATGCATTGGAAACACAGCCCTCATTCTCACCTTCCACATGCTCCCAGGCTCACCCCAAATTCAGGACAAGGTGCCAAAGGCCACTCGGGCCGGGGCTCTCTCTGTCTCTGCGGGCTCAGGGACTGCAGCCACCAGGGCGCTCCAGCACGGACAGCCTGGACCCAGAGCAGATCCCTCGGGATTAGCAGCGTCCTGGGCATACCTGGAGACAGAAACCATCAGCCTCTGGGGATACCACTTCACCTCCATCACACACAGCCTGCCAAATTTAGGGCTGCAGCTCTCGGACCACAAAACCCAGTCTGACCCAATTCTCCTGGGCACCAACACGGACTCCACAAACCCACAAGAATGAGAATGTTCTGCTGCTTTGACAAACTTCACCCCAGCTTTGCAAACATCAGTCCCTGCAGCTCCCTGCTTTCCAGAGCCCCGTTCAGGGCTGGCTCCAGTTCCTGGAGAACCTGCCCCAGCCCCACTCTGGGCCAGGCTGAGCAGAAGCCACTGGGCTGGACAAGGAAGAACCCTCCCCTGACTGCTGCAGCTGGAGGGAGATCCAGCTACCAATGGAATCCTGGGAACAGCCTCCCAGATGGTCTCTCACCACCCCTTGGCAATAGCTCAGAATGGCAGCAGCTCCAGTGCCAACTCGGTCCCTGCACAAATCCTTGTCCCAGCCCTGCCACACGGACACACACGGGAGACAGCCACGGGCACACAGGCCTTGCTTGCACAATTCCTCACCCAGAGCTGAGGGAAAGCCACACAATATTAAGAAATAACCTGTGCTGAGAGTACTCATCATTCCAGTCCATCAGGATTTGGAGGCACTTGGGTAGGCAACAGACCCAAATTCTAACCCCACCTCTAAATTTCTAGCAGGTTCTCTCAGAAAGCTCCTGGACAGGAACTCAGACAACAGAACTCAAAGACTGCACAAGCAATAGCAGAAGGTTTGCCATGAAGAACAGAAGTTCCTTGTTTTCCTTAACACTCTGAGACTGTAGGACCCAATCTTTGTGACCAAGTGACACCAGAGATGTTATTAATACTTAAACCTCTCCCCCATGGTTCTGTCTCAGAGAACTGGGCCAGCCCTGAGCTACTCCCAGGTGCCTGCAGTGCTTTGGGGAGTGGCAGGACAATGCCCCACTCCTGCTTGGAAACATTCAAGATGAGGAAAAGCCACTTCCCTTCTCTCTCTCTGACCCAGAAGCAAAGCAGTCCTGTAGGACAACACGGACTATGCACGGAAGGCCCCAGTCAGTGGGGGGAAAACCCTAAGCAAACCAAACCACTCCAAATTTCAAGATAAAAACACTCTGCTTCCTTAACAGGAGCACACCAAACTCATTTAAACAAGACAGGAAATTACAAACCCAAAAAAAAAGACCCAAAAGAGATGCTTTGCAGTGACACACTCTCTGGTTGATCATTCCAAAGGGAATTCTCCACAGATCAGAAGCAAGTACCAATACTTTGTCCTCTGTGGAAAATTAACGACTTGGGTTTCTGCTGAGGGGCTGGACATGTCCAGTGAGGGTTCAGGGTCTGGTGGGTTGTTTATGGCAGATCCTGACCTGCCCAGGCCAAACCCAACCACCCCCATCGCTGCTCCATCCCACATCCAGGGGGAATATTGATATTCTATAGAAATACTCCCCTTCCCTGCTACTCCATCCTTCCTTACATATCCACTGCCCAGGAGCAAATGCCAACAGCCAGGAGGAGAGAAACATGTCCCTCTGACTTCCCCCACCCCACGGGTAGCACCAGGAGCCCCCAGCGCCGGCCGGCGGGGCTGCAGCCTCTTGCCTTTGGCTGCTCACATCCCAAGGCACTTGGCAGAGCTGGGCTGCATTCAGGGCTTTGTCCTGGCCTGGAAGAGAGGAGAACAAGGCAATTAAGTGCACTGGGCAAGTCAAAGGCTCCTACCCTTCACCCTTCTGTTCTGATTGCTCACTAGAGAGTTTTAGCCATGAAAATTCCAGGGGGACACCAAATCAAATGGGACCTTTTCCAGCATTTTCATTCCTATCTGTTTCAGGCATTAAAAGGAGGGTCATTTTTCTTACTGCATTCCTTGCCCCATTTGATCAGCATCATTTTCATTCCAAACCCCTCTTGGGAGTTAGTCAATCCTCTGCCACTGGACTTTGGACAAAGGAAGAGACACCTGGGATGCTGGACCCCAGGAAATGAGGGAGAGAAACCTGACAGGGAAAGGTTTCAAGAACTCAGAAATATGTTCATGCCTTGCCAGCCCACCCCAATTCTGGGCCACCCACCTGAGCTGGGCAGGTGAGGCCAAGGCTCCCCTTCCTCCTGCCAATCACTGTCCCAGCACACAGATCCCCGTGCTGGGCAGCACTTGGGAAAACTTGGGAAAGGCAAAAGGAAAATGGCACTGCCTGTCAGAAAACGAGTGTCTGTGAACATACCTTCTGGACAAATTTAATCCCATCCCTCTGCTCCAATGAACACAGGGCAGGCAGGTCTCTCCAGCCCAGGGGAGAACAGGAAGGAGAACTGCAGGGAACACAGGCAGACACAGGCAGCTCTTGGCACTTCTTCCCTGCAGACCTCTCTGCACTTGGACCCTTGGCACTTCATTTATAAAGAATGGGGGGGCAGCAGCCCAGGAATGCCCCTCAAAAACAGGGGCCATGGCAGCTGGAGATCACAGGAGGGGAGTTGTGAGGGGAGACACAGAGAGAGAACAGGAACAGGGGCTGTTTGGGAACAGGCTGTGTGTCCAGTAGGGATGGGAACTGTGAACACGGGAGGCTGGAGGAATGCAGGGGGTGAGCACGGGCCTGCCTTGGATGGATCCTTTTCCCCTTTGCTCAGGGGCCTCAGCTCCACCTCTCTGGGAGCAGCAGGGAACTGCTGCAGGGGAAAAGTTCATTTAGGCACAAGCCAGTGATGCAGCCACTGGGGCAGGGGAAAAGGGGAGAGGAACTGACACAAAAATGACACAATCACCACTGAAAGGGACTTTATTGAGCTGCAACACAAACACATCCACAGCAGGCCAGGGCAAGAGGTGCCCACAGGACCACCACCACAGCAGCTGGGCGTGCAGGAACACCATCTTCTCAAGTTATGGAGCCAGGGGCTGACAGCTGGGATCAATCCTGGAGGCTGGAGAGCACTCAGGCATCAGGGCCAAGTCCTGCCCACTCACTGCAGACAGTCCAGCCCCAGGAGCAGTGGGATTTTCTGCCTCTCCCTCCAATATTATTTGGGACCCAAGAGGTCATTGCTGTGGAATTTCAGCTTCATAAATGTTTTACACAGTTGAGCTCCACAAGAACTGGGGCAGTTGTCATTATTCCTGACTCTTCCAGCGCTACACGTCCAGGATCCTTTGGGCACGAGGAACCTTCCAGACTGCTCCAAACCTTCACAGCCCACTTGCTCTTCTTGCCACAGTTGGACCAGCTCACTGTCCCTTCAGAAAGAGAAAGCAATGATTTTTCTGAAACCAGAACCTCCCCACCTTTGCTTTCCCATTCCAGGTTTGGTTCCCTACACAACTGAGGCCCTTCCAAGCCTTGCCCAGTGGCAGCCAAGGAAGCCAACCCAAGAACCTGCCAGGGAACAATGTCTGGGCCACAGCAACATCATTCCAGGCCTCTCACTGCCAACCCTCTGCTTCTCCCAACAGCTCCAGGGGCACCAGAACTTGCCCTGAAGTTACAAAGACTCCTTTTGGGAGCACCATGAACCATCTATTCTGTAGCACTGGAATTCCATCTCCTGGACAAGCTGGGAGAAGCAGGGAAAATGCCTACGGTGATGGGGATAGAAATAAGTCACTGTGGTGCAACGACACAGGAGTGGAAACCATTGGGACAAGTAGCCTGACCAAACCCCACCGTCTTTCAAAAGGAATTTTTCTTCTTTGTGGAGACAGGGCACGGCCAGGAATTTTGACACGTGCAGTTGGAGGGCCTTGCACAATTGGTCACCTGACCTTTACAGTCCCAAATGTTCCTGATGTTCTCATGCACACACTGCTTGGGCAAGACCAAACTGATGCTCTACTCCTGCTTTTGATGCAGCCTGTGACGAGAGGGTAACCTACTGGGATAAAGCACCCCGAATTTTTGCTTCACTGTTTGCCCCTGTAGGAATGGAGAAAGCATTAGCTACAAGAAACAAATGAGGATGCTGGCTTGCAAAGCAAACAAATGCAACAAACAAGGTACTAAGTGAAGTGCTTTTAGATGTTAATTCAGTCAGACCTGCTGTGTTACAGAATAGAGCTACAAGTGACCTTTTACTATTGGCTCAGGGACACAAATGTAAAGAATTTGAAGGAATGTGTTGTATGAATTTGTCTCATCATTTGGAGTCTATTCACAGAAGCATCCAACAGCTGCAAGAGGGAGTTGCAAAGCTACAGGTTAAGGATAGCTGGGATTAGCTGGAAAACCTGCTGAATAGTTGGGGAATATCAGCATGGGTTAAATCCATAGTAAAGACGGGCGGTGTGGGGATGTTTCTGTGTATTGTAATGTGCTTACCATGCTCGATGCAATGCGATCAACCAACTGTAAACAAAGCACTAAAGGTTGTTTTATTTGTAAACAAAGAAGGGGGAATTATGGAGGTGAACAGTGTCACATCCCTCGGGCCCAGGACGGTGGACATTGTTCCACTAGCTGGCAGAAAGCTGTGGGAACAGAAAGCAGGACAAAGAAGACACGGAAGAAGAAGATACAAGACCGCAAGAAGGACCTTGGTTGCAGAGAAATGTAGTTATTTGCATCTATTAAAACATATGCTGTATTATGTAGACTTGAAAAAGTAAGCATAAGTAGAAAATCACCAATTGTTCTGCGTGAATTACCTATTGTTCTGCCTGGGGTATATAAGCTTATGCATTATTATAATAAAGGTCTTCATCTTTGTTATACCAACAAAACAGAGACTGTGCCTTTTAAAGCCACACTCCTTCTATTGTGTTAAGGACTGAGGAAGTTGGACCTGTGTCTGAGTAGGACATGTGCAAACCAAATGGTGGGGACTGGAACACACCCCTTGCACTCCTGGAGCTCTTACCATTACATTCAAGAGAAAACAGCCAATTGTACCATCACTGCTCATTTCTTAATCCCAATCCCACACTGCTTTTGCAGTTGGAGCACCACTTTTATAACCCAATTACAGCCCATTAGAGAGCTCCACATCTAGCATGGACAGGTACACCTGGGATACTCTCAGGAATGCCTGAATCCATCCCAGGGACCTTGCTTCGAGCTCCCCAGGGCCGGGCACCCAGAGGATCTCCCCGAATAATCCTTTTGGTGCGCACAGGAGTCCTCGGGGTGCCCCAGCCCGGGGGGCACCAACAGCACTGTCCCTCCAGGGGGGCCCAATTTGCTCCCAAAAGGGATTTCAAGAGTCCTTCTTTGGAACTGTCCTGGTTAGAACGGCTGGGACCAATTCATCCCTGGATGGGTGTAACCCAAAACTGTGTATTCTATAGCCTCCATGCCATTTCCCAAAAACTGCTGTCAGTAGAGGCCTGCAAGGTGGGAAGATGTTCCTGTACCCTTTTATGGAATTCCCTGCTCTGATATCCTTATATGGAATTCCCCGCTCTGATAAGAGGGACTGAGCATCCACATGCCCTTTTATGGAATTCCCTACTCTGAGGGAGGGACTGAGCACTCCCGCCTGAACTGGAGAGTATATAACTGGGAGTTTCAGAGCCTTGGGGCTCTCTCTCGTGGGACCCAGAGGAAGACAGCAGACCACCGCTGCTCCCAACCAGGCTGAGACCACCACCCTCAACTGGACTGCAATCACCACTTCTGACCAGACTGCAGCAGCTCTCCCACCAGCAGGTTTTATCCCCTCTCCCTTTGCTTTGGACTTGGGGGGTGGGCCAAGGTACACCACTTTTGTTCATATCCCAGGGTGCTGGGTTTGTACATTTGGGTTTTGTGGGTTAAAACCAATTGTCTGTCTGTATAATTGTACTTATTGCATTATTTTAATAAATTGTTATTCTGACTTATAAATCTCTCTTTTGAATTGAGTTCATTTTGCCTTGCTGGTTAACTTTTAAACCAGCACAGGAACCCACCAACGTGTACGGGTAGGAAGCCACAAAAAGGCCTCATTCATAAACGCAGGGGGATCTTGCCTGTGTCCCAGACTGCTCCGGGGATCTGAGGCCCTTCCCGAGAAAATCTCGGTGCCGGCGTGAAGGCCCAGAGATCCCTTGGAGCCATGGGAGAGCAGGCACAGAGTCCCTGCTGGGGGGCCAATTCTGCTGCCTGAAACCAGCTCTTCAGAGAAGCCTCTAAGACTCAGCTGGTGAGTTTTAGAAGCCAGGCATTCCTACACACTGTGAGATATTTTAAGAGCTTACTGACTGAAAAACACAAAGCTTTTATCAGGGACATCTGACCTCCCACAGACAGCTCCTTTCCCCTTTCAGTACAATATTATTTTCATAGTATCACTTAATAGGAAGTGCCCAGGAAGCCCAGACTGTGTTTTTCAGAACAGAAAATAAATAGAAGGAAGGAGCTTTGCACAAGTGTAACATACTCCAGAACAGACCTGACTTTAGTTTTACTCTTTATGTTCAAATATAGCAGAAAACAAAAACTCCAGCAGGAGAGCTGGCACATTACCCATGGTATCCTGAAAGTCCACCTTATGAGGGCTGGAGGAAAATCGCAGTTTGAGTCCCTTGTGCCTGCAGATGCCTGGGGATCCTCTCCATCCACCCTGTGCTCTCCCAACAGCAGAAAGGGTGACCTCAGGGACACAGTGGCACTCGACATCCTGCTGAGAAAGCAAGGAAACCTTTAGCATAAAGGTGAGTTGGAATCTAAAACTTCCTTTCCTGGGAGCTTTGTGAAGCCTGCAACCAAGAGGGGGAAAATTTGCATCTCCTTTGGTGCAGGTGTCAACAGCAGCTGAGACTTTTTGCCTTTTTCAAACAACTGTGCCCTTTTTGGCTCCCTGGCAGCTCCAATAGCACCAGAACCCCCTTCCTGCACACACATGGGTGTCACACACAGGCACCCACACACCTTTGCTCCAGCCCACACGTGGCCAAGATTTCCTCACCCTGTACATCCCAAGGGGAGTATTTTTGCTAGAGAGCACAGCAACCCCCCTGTCCTTGCAAACTGCCTCCCTGCAAAAAAGGAATCATTTTTCCTGGACACTTCTCCCACAGTCAAGGTCTTTTAAAACCTGCTCAGGGTCCCTCCCAGCTTCTGCTGTCCTTGCATTTAAAGGCACGTGTATGTTCTATCTTCCAACAGCAAAACCCAGCTCCTCAGTGGCAGTATAAGCCCTGCTCTTACCTGGACAAACTCCCAGGCTCGGCACAGCTGTGGTTCATGGAGCAGCCTCCCAAGGCCCTTCTCTCTCCCAGCAGGAAGCACAACTCGCCTCCACTCCGCCAGCACCAGGGGAAACCACGAGCCAGGCTGCAAATTGACACAGAACGAGCAAAAAGCATTAATGCAGCACCAAGAAACTAAGGGAGACCAGTTCTCGCCTCGGAACCCTGCACGGGGAAAGGCTTTGGGATTCCGAGGCAAACCCTGAGACACCCAGAGAGCAACAGCCCCGCAGCCCTGCCACGGCTCCCCCGGGGTCACCCGGCAGGTAAGGGGCTTACCCGGCCCCCGCTGCCCAGCACAACGCGCCCCTAAACGCCCCCCGGCTCCCCCAGTCCATAAACTCAGCCGACAAGGCGCTCTCACCTCCGCAAAGCCACGAGGGGCCCAATCCTGCCGCACACCCCCAGCACAGACCCCCCAGCCCAGCCCATGTCAGAGCACTCACCGCACATCCCCTGCCGTGTCACCTCTCCCGGGGCTGTGCTCTGTCCTGTTCCTGGCCGGGCTCGTCCTCCCTGCGGCCTCTCCTGGTGCTGTGCTGAGCCGGGCTTGCCCAGGCAGGGCCTCTGGGAACGAGGCACAGCTGCTCTGGAGACAAGAGCAATCAGGAAACCTTTCCGCAGCTGACCCGGTCCCACCGGTGGCTGCAGTTGCCCCCGTGCTCGGGGGGAGCCCCATCCTCGGGGGACTCTGGCCGGCAGCCCCCCGGGCAGTTCCCAAAGAGCTGAACCTGCGCAAAGACAGTGGGAAAAACCCCTCCCCGCACAGCCCCGGCACTCACCGACTCCTCCCGGCCCGCACACACCAAAACTCCCGCCTGGGATCGCCGGCGCTCGGGAAAAGGGCTGCGGGGCGGGGCGGGCCGGGCCGGGGCGGTCCCTGCGCGGCACCTGCGGGGCGGGGGGAGCGGGGCGGGGCTGCGGCACCAACGGGCTCGGTGGCGCCGTCTGGCGAAACCCGCCCGACACTGCAGGCAGAGCCCTCGGCGCGCTGGGACCGCAGTTCCCGGGTTTTATTCGCCAGGGGGAGCCTTCGCTCGGCTCACCGAGGGGCACAGGGGTGTCGGCATATACGTCGTGTCCATCTTCTGGTCTGGGGAGGGGGCACCTGGGACCACCTGCAGTCACCTGGGACCCTCTAGAGCTACTACGGGGTCACTACGTACATCACATCTGGCGTCTTGTCTGGGGGAGGCACAGGGGGGTCAGGGGGTCGCCTGGGGGCACATGACCTGAGCAGCCGCCCGTCTGTCCCTGTGTCCGTGTGTCCGTCGGGCAGCACCGTGAGCACCCCTGGCCCAGGAGCTGGCACTGACCGTCCCGCGGGTCGGGCACAGGCTGGTCCCAGCTCTGCTTTTAGCTCTCCCTTCCCTCCATGCCCTCAGAACTCATGGAATTTCAAACAGTGACTTTTTATCCTCCAATCAATAAAGTGCAGCTTGTCTGACAGCACCTGCCAGGTGAGATCTGACCCTCTCCTTCCTCTCCCCCCATTGCTCTGGAACTCACACTCTCCAGTGGCAAAACCCATGTTTGTGGAAGTCCACTTGAAATATTTCCTCTTTTTTTTCCAGATGGGGAGGGTCCTGCCTGGAATGGAAATGGCTACAAAAGAGGAAACTTCAAAATGCCAAAACCAGGCACTGCCATCTGAGTCAAAGCAGGGAAAGACTTGGGATGTTGAAGGTTTTATTGTCATGTGCTCCCCAATACACACACAGCATCAGGAGTGGACACCTGACAGACTGAGCAATGAGCTTGGAAGAAAGGAAATCCAAAGGTCCAAGGATTATCTGCACTGGGGGCTGGAAACCCCTGCTGAGCCATTGCCACCCTTCTTTCCTCTGAGGGGCCCCACAGGGGCACCAGGACATTGCCAGAATTGTATTCCCCAATGCTCAGATGCTGTTTTGTTGGTTGTGTGTTCACCTCTTTGCATTGCCTACTGTGAACATGTTTGTGTTTCAGCTCAATAAAGTCCCTTTTAGTGTTTATTGTATGTGATTTTTGTGTTACAAATGTTAGAGTCAGTTACTCTAAACACTTCCCCTCGAACTGATGCATCAATGGGTTGTGACGAATTGTCAAAGAATGCACACTTGGAGGTAAAAATGAGGTAACCAGTAGTGCACAGGTAGAGAAATTTGGGGGGATAAAATCTGATGTAATCTCTAGGAGAGAGAATGAACATCTTGAGGAAAACTGAGGTGAACAGTGGTGGATGGATAGGGAAAATTTGTGGGGGTAAAACTTGAAATAACCTACAGGGTAGAGAATGAACAGGTGTTTTCTCTCCTTCTTATACTGAAATTTTAGTCTTTTTAGATGACTTATATCCCCCCTCAAAATCAAATTGAGTTCTCCAGAGAAATGTACCACAAAAGCCATTTTTTTATGCCTTATTTCCCAAATTTCCACTCCTTCTCTCACTGCAATAATAATGAATAACACAGAAATAACAATGAGACAGGGGAATAAATGGGATGTGACTGAAAATGCTCATTTTTGTCACTTGGGCAGGAATCAGTTGGTGTTTAGAACGTCCAGCCAGAAGCAATGTGGACACAGCCACAAGAATACCCAGGGACTGGTGAGTCCAGTTCACATTTCACGCTGTATCTCCAACATCTCAGTCTATGAGAGTTACAGGATAAGGGATTACTCACAGGTTGAGACATTCCCATAAATGTCATTCAAGCAACTCTGCTTCAGCCGCTCTGAGAGATTCACAGAGAAAATTAAGGAGTGTTTTCTTCTTTGGGCATCCACAGTAATTGTATCTGAGTCAGTTCTCAGTTCTCTTTTTCTCTTATGTCCCAATAAATGGAAGATTTTAATCCTGTCCTTGTTTCAGCCCAGTTCAAGAGCAGCAGCTCATGGCTGGCTGAGGGGAGTGTCCACTGATTTAAGCTGGTG